ATGGGTGCGGTCAAACTGCATTCAGCTGGGATCGCACCCAGACTCTGGCATTAAGAAGCATATTGTTTCAACACCTTAGCCATAGGCGCAAACACGTTTTTCAGAGCTGATGTAACACTATATGAAACTAGTGATCCAATTAGTGTTTTCTGGATTTATGAATGGATGAACTATAAAATATAGAAGTGAGATCCCATTAAAGCAAAAGGTATCAAAACAAACTGGGGGTCACTGCACAAATATTGTTGCAGTTTTCTTCAAAGCAAACATTATTTCTTAAAAATTGTGACTAAACATTAATAATAATTAAAAAAAGTGAACACATATGTAATGTTCCTCAGTTCTCGTTAATTTGGTGCATAATGTGCCAGCTATATTTTACTGATGACAAGGTGCAGTATTGTAAAATACTGTTTTTCATGTATGTGCTGACCTTTTGGATTCAACAAAAACAAAATTACATATCTGACAAAGTGAAAAGAAATTATGTACTGAATCAGTTAAAATGTTGAGTTATTCAAAATAAATATTAGTTGTTTCACATTTCTGTAACACTGAATATATCAAAGCTATCGACATAATATTCAGACTACGTTTTCTGTAATGAAACAGAACCTCAAAAAGTCTGGTCTTTTTCAACTGACAAAGTAATGAAGCTATAAACTTGTCAAGGAGAAAGCTGTAAATTCAAATATGGCTGCCCTTTTTATGGTACCCAGTGATGCCATTAAACTCCTTCTGTTGTTGACTAGTGTTTGAGTTGTAATGAAAACAGCATTTCTATAAAATGATGTAAAAAGTACGGGACCCTGTTTCATGACTTGAGGCAGGCATATGGTGCTGGCTCCAGATTTGTTGTACAGACAAACTGGCATTCAGTGGATGAGTTTGGTTGATACAACATCGACCGTATTTACTTCACAGGATATTTCTTGGTACTATATTAGGCCCTGCTGACTTGGGAGCTCATGTCATTGAAACAAATAATCACCTGGTGGGGAACTGCAAACAATGACCAGCAGGAAAGCATGCTAGCCACTGTGGTTCTACGTCTATAGTTCTCTTCTCCCCCCTCCTCCCCCCTAAGGTTTCAAAGTAACACCTTGTTTGTGTCACTGCTAGCATAAATTTTTCTGATTTCATTTTTAGTCAAAACATAATCTAAACAGTCATTAAACAAAAACCCACTGAATAGCATTTCTATGATTACTACTTTTGTTTCTGTCAGTCAAGTATAATTTGCTAAGACATTACAGACTGACTTTTAAGTGAAAATGGTTCCCTCTTTCATCATATGACTCTATCCACCTATAACATCACTGGATTTTTGTAAACTACACATACATGCACACAAAAACCCAAAGCTAAATGATTCATGTTCAATTGTGTTTTTAATATTAAAATTTTTTTAAAGCACAATGCTAAGAAGTCAACTACTGCCACACTAATGTCTCAACTTATAAAGCGACTTAATGAAAAAACTATATGTACCATGACCACAAAAATAAACTTCATAAAAGTTATTAACTCTACAAACATATAAACAAGAATTTCCTTTTTACAATGAATTTACTAGAGAGAAATATTACTTTTACACTTACAAGGGATATATCACCTTAACAAATAACAGCAGGTACACTGAGGTAACATTTAAGTAATGCAATATAACTGAAGATAAATTTTAACAATAAAAAGTGATGGCTTATAAAAGAGAAACAGGTTTAGAAAACCCTTTCTTCCATGCAGGCAAAAATGTATAGGATAAAAGAGTTATATTAGCACCTAACAGTTATTTAACCCCATTTACTGTTTCTGTGTTCGGTTTTCACAATCCATTACCAGCACTGATATTAATTTTAAACATTCATTTTTTCCTTCAGTGCAGTCCATATTCAATGAAGACAATCAAGCACCTCTTACATAATGTATTAACATACAACATAGAAATTGCAAACTTGTGATTTAGGAAAGAATATTAATTAATATAGTTTTTGTTTCAAATTGTAATAAAAGATTTTGGGTTAATTAAAGGATATTTTTCTTTCCTAGAAAAACCTGAAGTTAAAATGCACTTGATCTCTAACTAGTTGACTGGATGCATAATATTCTCACAGAAGCGTTATACAACAGAGAATTCTTGTCCTATAGGCATAATGCAAATACCAGTTTTGGATTCGTCAAGAAAATTAGAATTCTACTCGACAGAAAATGTACAGTGCCTATGGAATCTGGTCAACACATACCAGGGTCATCACCAGTGCTATGAAGTTCATGTAGTTTGTTGTATGAGCTATGTATTCAGTGGGGGAAGAAATCCTTACAGAGGTGTGCAATGAAGGAAATCTGAAAGAAATCTCACATTTTGGTAAAAGATGACTAAGAATACAAACTTTGTTTCACACAATGGACTCTGATATACCATATTTGTAAAAATCTCTATGCAACAGACATATAAATAATTTACTTAGTAGTAAGTAATGACGTGCTTCAAACAACATAGCATAATGGCATACGCACATTTAACACCAACAACCAAAGAATATTACTGCGAATAAAAGTAAACAATCCCAATGAAAGCAATCAAGTGTTTCAGCTTATAGATTTAGCGTGATGATATTAAAGAAGAACCTTCCATTTGAACAACAACAGAATGAACTTTCATTAGCCTTAACAAATTCCTAGTGACCTGACAAATTCACTGTAGAGAATGCTCTACAGAGCAAAGTAGATTATACAAAAACAGATAATATACATAGCTTTTCCTGTCTTCCTTGAGTGCACATATACATATATAATGACATTTGAAACATAACTGACAATTGCATCAGATTATGCTAGTTTTGGTCACAATATGACAGGAGTTCATTATGATGCTGATTATGTGTCACATATAACTACATTTACACTAAAGCAAATTCCAAATGCACACAGTTATGTAGTTGTTAACGCTACAGCACGAACCATTGAGAAATGTTCCTAATAAACTGACCTCATTTTTAAAAAAAAATAGCTGAATTTAAATATCCCTGCTGTCTATGTCACACTCAGACCTCATTTTCAAACATAAAAACTAAACAACTGCGACACTTCTTTTCTTTTAACAAACACAGGATCATGTATCAAGATGTCAAATTGTTAAGCTTTTCTTGTGAAACATTTGTTTAAACAAAGGAGTATGGCTAATAACACACTTTTTGTTTAAAGAAAGGAGTACAGCTAATAACACACTTTTTGTTTAAAGAAAGGAGTACGGCTAATAACACACTTTTTGTTTAAAGAAAGGAGTATGGCTAATAACACACTTTTTGTTTAAAGAAAGGAGTATGGCTAATAACACACTTTTTGTTTAAAGAAAGGAGTACGGCTAATAACACACTTTTTGTTTAAAGAAAGGAGTACGGCTAATAACACACTTTTTGTTTAAAGAAAGGAGTATGGCTAATAACACACTTTTTGTTTAAAGAAAGGAGTATGGCTAATAACACACTTTTTGTTTAAAGAAAGGAGTATGGCTAATAACACACTTTTTGTTTAAAGAAAGGAGTACGGCTAACAACACACTTTTTTGTTTAAACAAAGGAGTATGGCTAATAACACACTTTTTGTTTAAAGAAAGGAGTACGGCTAATAACACACTTTTTATTATTTCTGAAACCTGTATTTGGATACCATGACAATGTTAATCCAGACACCGTCACAAAAGGTAAACAAAGTCTTAGAATGACAAAAGAAAAAAATGCCTAATATTTAGAAAAGTTGATGGTAGTGGTAAATTACCAATGTGAAATGTGTGCACTGAAAGTACTTATTTGTCACTACAAGAGTGTTTACTGTCGCCACTTTTGTTTGTTATTGATGTGGAGAAAATAAAGATAGCTACCGAAGCAAACTCCCGGCAGCAGGATTGAAATGAGCTGATATTTGCTGACGATCGTGCCGTGTTCTACAAAGAAAATGACATCACATATACAGCCTCAATACCTGTTGCAAAAAATATAATTATGAAAGCAAAATACTGAAAGAAAAAACTTCTTAAACAACAGTAAATAGAACAACAGTTCAACATGTCATCACTGTTGAAGGAGAGACATTAAATCAAGCGACCTAGGCAGTGTATTTATTCAAGATGGAGGACTGGACAGAGAAACAGAAAACAGAATCCACAAGGCCAACAACATAAATTACCAAACAGCCCCACTTTTGAGGCATCACAATATCAATAGGGACACACAAAAAGCAGCTGAAAAATTAACTATTCGTAAGAAATGTATGCCATCAATGCCAGAGGTGGACAGTCCTAAAAACACATAAAATTAAAAGATGAGATGAGATGTATAAGAAATGCAGTGGGGAAAAACAAAAGAGAGTCACCAATAAAGAACTATGAACAATGGTAGGCACAGTAACGGTAAATGATTTCACAGAACATCAAAGACTCAAATGGTTTGGTCATCTGGTCAGAATGGAACAAAATCAGCAAGCAACTAGAGTGTACTACATGAGAACAGCAAGCTACAAGGCAAGAGGCCCACCAAGAAAGAGATAAGCGGAGGCAGTAAAAGAAAGACGACAGAACACAATAAAACATTAACATAAGCTGTGCAACTAGTAAGGAAAGGAAACTAAATCATCTAACACCTCTCTGTGACAATTTACGGCATAGGCAGTTGGATCCCCCCCCCCCTCCCCCAAATGTAAGCAAACTGCATAGATGTAAAAAAAACTTACAGAGATGCGACACAGCTCTGTATAAAGTTATTAGGCAAAATGGAAGGTTAGCGCTCTAAACAGAGATCTTAGGAACATTTCTACTGGATATTTTTTGTAAGCTAAAAACTAATTTTATTTAAAATTGAAAAACAAACAAACTGAGCACTCAAACTAAAATGAACAATGAAGCAACATCAATGCACAAATAGGTTGTGACATCAAGAAAAATAATCTGGACTGCATCTGTTCAGCTTTTCCAAATTTGTGATCTTTAAATGGGCAGGACACTTTTACCAAAATGCTGTTGATTTCCCCCCTGGAGGGTGTGAAACCTTTGTTCCCGATCGCTTAGGCTGGTTATCATCATATTGGTGACCTGAAATATATAAAAGAATTGATCTTGCTTCAGTGGTGCTAATATTTCTTCAATACAAAACTGTATGTAAACAGAGCATCTAGGGATACAAAATTTAAAAAAATACATTAATTCTTAGGGATACAAAAATTATATGAATACAAATATCATAGTTTCTCTTGGCTAACACAAGCATTTCGACTGCACACAAGACAAATTCATAAGTGCTTTGTCCCTTTCAGAGATACTGAAAGCTGTTTTACAACAACACGCAAAGTTAAAACTGACCAAACAGAAGGATCAAATGATAACCGCCATTTTAAAAGAGAGTAACATGTAAACTGTATAAGCTGAAACTTAGATTCTAGTGAGGAACAAACATGGTTACTGATACTGACAGGCTTTGGTCTTAGTCAGGTAAAAATGTTACTGATACAGACTTTGGTATTAATATATGAAAAAAAAGGGGGGGGGGGGGGGAATTGTGTGTGTGTGCACACGAGTATGTACGTGGGGGTTTATGACAGTAATAACAACAGTTTATTTGAAGATTTAAAAAAAAAAGCAATAAGGGCAAGGTCCTATAGAAATATAACAAAATTGCTATTCTTTCTGCTCCAGAAAAGCTGTAAAAAAAAAAAAAAACAAGACCATAAATCCCGGAGCTCCTGAAAAATCATGCAAAAATACTTGTTGAGCACTGGTTACTAATAAATTTATTTTGTTTATTTCAAGCAAAGCTTTAAATAGAATACATTTCTGGCAGACTAAAATAATATAATGGGTGACAAACTATGACTCAGTGACTTCACCAGAATTCTAACACTAATGCTACGGGCAAATTATGGTGTCAAGTGGCTTTTAAAAAACCTATTGTGCAAATATATGTGTACCATACAGCTGCGACTTCATTGTCATTGGAACAGGCAAAATGTATCGTCTTTGGCTTCCTGCAGGGTGCTCTTGTCTGGCCACACCTTTTAACATGCTGTTCTTGTAGTCTGGTCATGGGTGCAGATTCACAGTCATCACTTGGTTCTCGCAAACATCTTAATTCTCCTAGAGCATTCAGTATATCAGCCTGGTCCATGGCTTGTCCAAACTCCACAGTAGCTTTACCTGCAAGCCTGCTCATTTCCTTGCATGCTTGAGTGCCCTGGCAAGAACATTAAACTGATTATTTGTCAGCACCAACCTCCTCAGAGACTTTAACCCCCGTCTTCGGACCCAGCCCAGCTCTATCTTCCTGAGCATACTGACTGTAAAATTAACTTACAATTTTACCACAGCGGTCACTGTAGAATTGTAAAAAAACAAGATGAAAGCTATTTATGAATGATCACATGAAAAAAAGAATGCACGAACATGAAAACAATACAGTGAGTATCTTAACAATTATTACAGAAAAATGTCACAGAGAAAATATATTTCTAGGTAAGGTGGCTTCATCTTTGAAGAATAGTCTTCTGTAATGATGGTACAGAATTACAAAATACAAAAAATGTTATCAAATAATTCAAATGTACGTTAAAACATTAGCTTTCACAACAGTAATAAGCACACCATTTTCTGACAATCTTTATTCACAGTACTACAAACATGGTTGACACTATCAAACATTCCTGTTTAACAAAACACTTGTTGGTATGAACTCTACTACAATCACATTGATATTTACCACTGAGTGAGAATGAAGAGTCTTGCATGTTGCGCACACCACCACGAGTAGGTGGCCTGTTGTGAAATTCAGCTGAATGGTCAGGGAAGATTTGATTGTCTGCATGCCGACTAATAACTGGTGCATATTCAGGTTTGATCTCCACTACAGGGCCACTGTAGGGTTCTCTGTCCACAACCTGGGGTGCAAGCACCTACAAATATACACACAAACAAGTGCAATGAAACACAGACTTGAACACACTGGAACAACACAAATTTGTTCATAGCTGATTGTTAATCAAAGAGGAAACCCAACTGCAAACCTACAATAAACATTTTAATACACTTATAAATAATGTTTCATTAAACCACCAATAGAAAAAAAAAGTAAAAATTAAAGTTTAGCAATTAATCTATTGTCTTCTTCACTTTTACCGGGTTGCAGCCCAGTGTCGTGGTTTAAAATATTTGTTTTGTGCCTCTCGCATGATTTGAGTGACAGTTTTCTGGATCTTCTGGCCGTATTCAGCTACTCCATCTATCCATTTTTTCCTGGGTCTTCCTCTGGCCTTTCTTCCCTATGTTCTATTGTAAAAGGCCTTATAGGCAATCTGATCTGGTTGCATTCTTACTAAATGACCAACCCACTTCATTCTCTGTTTTTCAATATGTTCCATGCATGCTCTTGTTCCAACTTTGTCTCTAATGCTGTAGCAAATAATGCTGTTATTAAATGAGAAGAAATAAAACAGTTTGATGACATGTAAGTAATTACTGGTGTCATCTGTTCTATATGCTTGGCGACGGATTATCAACTTAACATATCTAAGAGACAGCTGATAAAACGTAAATGCAAACGGATTGAAGATAATTATGGGATGCACAGGAGAGACCTCAGTAGTATGTATGCAATATATATACCAGTACTGATAGGCTCAAAGTGTTGCAAGCAAAGTCATATCTCAGAGTGAAGCCCTAGATAGATCTAAGGATCACCAGCTGAAAAGAGGAAGGTCTTGGATGAGTCAGGCTTGAGAATATTAGGTTAGGATACGAGTGGGTTAAAATGTTGCAGCCCAATCAGATTTGTGTAGGGTTCTAATAACATTATGCCATGAGTGTAGGGACTGCCCAGTGGGCATTGCAGAATCAAAAGTTCAAAAAATTATTTGTGACAATTCCTACCTGGGTGATGTGACTATCTATACATATGGCTTTGTGTTGAGAGGCAGAAGAAGATGCTAAGAGAGCAACTGATTTCACTGTCTCCAGTTCATTTTCTCCTACTACACAGTGTCCGCAAAGTCATGGTGCACTTTTGACCGGTCACAGGAAAGCAACAAAAGAAGATAGAAATGTGAAATCGGCACCAAATAAAAGGAAAACTCTCCAAGTTTCGTAGTATGATGTGCAAGTGTGTGCGCACACAGGCGATGACGCAACACCACGAACTGCGCAGCAACAGATCAGCCCACACCCATGCCAGTCGAGATGTGAACGGTGCAGAGGAAAGTTCAGTGTGTTTTGTCAAAAAGGCACTATGACTTTATGGACACACTGTCATTTGCATAACCAAGTATGCTTGTTGTTTCTCCTATAGCACAATCTCCTCTAACCTTCTGTTTGATTTTCTCTACAGCCATATTAAAAAGAAGTGGGGGATGAGGTGATCATCATCTAGCAGTCCACAAACATTAAAGAAAAACAACATTTTCAGTCAATTTGTGTTTTGAAAGCAAACATAGTCAGTCTTAGATGTTTTGCTTAGAAAGCAAACAATAAGTCTTAGATGTTTCCATCAATAATGCCAATTATTTTCTTTGCCTACTGAGAGTCAATCTGTAATGTCTTCATGATTTTTCTCCAGCTGATCCACACTGATTCATTTTTGTTCATAAAGAGAGATATTACTAATTGTTTCCATTAATGCAATGCACACATTTAAAAACGTACCTGATCTCTGGTGCTCACACGGCCAAACACATATTGAGAGTTGGGTGCAGTGGGAACAAATCTGCCAAGTCCTTGGGTTACTTTCAGCTGTAAGATAGATTTGGATGGTCAGTTTTACATTTATGAAAGACTGGCATTATTGGCATTCTTCTCTTCTGCATTTGTTTTTAATATGGATTATCCTTTCTGCATTATTTAAAGTTTTATTTGTGGATTAAGATTTCTGTTTGTATTTGTGTGACTTTCCTTTAGCCGAGCTTACTAGTCCCATTCTGTATCCCCTCCATTGTTGATAATAGTCTGACAGCTGTCATCCCTTGTTTCAATATAAAGAATGGGGACAGTGCCAGAAAAGGCAAGCAAAACTATAATTTAAATGAAAAAAAAAACTAAAACATATTAATCATAATCTAATAACCTTATCTAAAAATCCTAAAAAGTATGAACAATATATTATGATTAATAACAAAGTAAATACCATAACGACTAAATGAAATGCCAATTTATTATATAAAATAAGAAAAAGTATTTCAAAAATACAATGGACAGTATGTGGTCAACATAAGGCCAAACATCTGTACTACCCACAATTCCTTGGTATCCATTTTAGGCTGTGTTGACCTGGCAGCCCAGCCAAGAAAGCAATGACAAAAAGTAATAACAGGGTGAAGTAAAAGTAGTAACAACAGGACAAGAGATGAAGTAAAAGTAGTAACAACAGGACAGAGATAAAGTAAAAGTAGTAACAACAGGAGAAGAAATAAAAGTAATAACAACAGGAGGAGAAGTAAAAGTAAGATCTCCGTAAAAATTGTACACGTAAACTGAAAGGCGCTGCAGTCAAACGAACCCATGACCTTCAAAGCATGAGACAAACGGCTTGATCACTTGGCCAAGGAGAAATAAAAGTAGTAACAACAGTAGGACAAGAAGTAAAAGTAGTTATAACAGGAGGTGATGAAGTAAAAGTAGTGACAACAGGAGAAAAAGTAAAAGTAGTAACAACACCGGAGAAGAAGTAAAAGTAGTAACATCAGGAGAAGAAGTAAAAGTAGTAACATCCGGAGAAGAAGTAAAAAAAGTAACATCCGGAGAAGAAGTAAAAGTAGTAACATCAGGAGAAGAAGTAAAAGTAGTAACATCAGGAGAAGTAAAAGTAGTAACATCAGGAGAAGAAGTAAAAGTAGTAACATCAGGAGAAGATGTAAAAGTAGTAACATCAGGAGAAGTAAAAGTAGCAACATCAGGAGAAGTACAGGTGGTAACAACGGAAGAAGAGGAAGTAAAAGTAGTAACAAAAGGAGAAGTAAAAGTAGTAACAAAAGGAAAGAAGTTAAAGTAGTTACAACAAGAGAAGAAGTAAAAGTAGTAACAATAGGAGAAGAAGTAAATGTAGTAACAGGAAAAGTAAAAGTAGTAACATCATGAGAAGAAGTAAAAGCAGTTGCAACAGAAGAAGTAAAAGTAGTAACAAAAGGAAAGAAGTTAAATTAGTAACAACAAGAAAAGAAGAAGTAAAAGTAGTAACAATAGGAGAAGAAGTAAATGTAGTAACAGGAGAAGTAAAAGTAGAAACAACATCAGAAGTAAAAGTAGTAACATCATGGGAAGAAGTAATAACAAAAGGAGGAAAATAAGTTTAAAAAAAAAAAACAGTAGTATAAGAAGATATACAACCTGCTGGAATCGAAGATATACTGCTCAGCATTCTTACTCCTTTCCAGGTGAATAAGGAAATACAAGAGTAATGTAATCAATCTCACCTGGCCTTCATCCATGACAATACTGCCGCCAGTGATGACATATTCAGGCACTCCATGACACGTTAAGCCCTCAAAGATGTTAAAATCAACAGCCTGGTGGTGGGTTTTGGCACTGATAGTGCGAGTAGCTTCACCATTCCAGATGACGATATCAGCATCAGAACCTACGGCTATTCTCCCCTGAAAAATAAATTGCAAACACTTTAAATTTTATTTCCCGCACATTCGAGCGAGAGACAAGAAACATGCAGTGAATGAAATGTGTAGAACAAATTAAATTGAAATGTGCAACAATCTGCACAGGTAAATATGATTTACCTGTGAATGTCATATCATCTTCATAAGCTCTTTTGATAAGCTTGTATGATATTTGGTACGCTATCTAAACTTATGCCGGCGTGATGCTGACCATATCACCCAGCAAGTGCTTATTGGTCTCGAAAAAATATAGGTCTAGCCCTATATTCCCAATACGCCTAAAGGTCTGGAAAAGGGACCTTTACTTTACTTTATCTTTTCCATTTGTAGACTGGAAGGATAGTTTTGTCGCCCAGCTTCCGAGTTGAGTGCATGGTGTGACACTGTGAGCTACATGTGTTTTTTGTTGGCACAGGAGCGGAGCAACTTTGGGGTGACCTGTTTGCTATGAAGCTGAAACTAGGATTACCAGATTACCTTATCTCAACTCAGGATCTGGTCTGCATTATTATCCCATTTATAATATCTGGTCCAATTACCTCTTTTCCCATCAAGTCTGCCAACTTTTTAGATTTTTCACCTTAACACTTTTGATAGTCTCCATGTAACCATAACTATTTTATATATTTCATATTTCTTGAGGAACTTCTCAATTATTGTGTTTTATATTTCCACCCATGGTTTTATTTGGAGTTTCTCCAGAAACCATAATTTTGGGGCCACCATAAATCGCTTCGCTTGTCTGCTTAGTATCACATTAACATGCACCCAAAAAATACATATTTGTATACTTTTTTCTCACTACAATATCTTTTCTATCAGTTTTGTAGATTTTTCTATAAATTTGCCAACTTTGAGTTGCATTTTGTGATATGAGTCAATAATGAAAGTTAAATGCATTTGAAAATAAATGAACATTAGATGGGACAAATTCAAGAAAAGTTGAGGAAATAAGAGAAATGACTAGACAATTTTCTGGTATCAACAGTTTTAGACATTAAAAAAAAAAAAAAACAACAACAAACTGGGGCACATTATGAGAAGAAATGTAGAGAATCACCATATGGGAAATTAAATAGGAAACAAATAAGCTCAGAAAATGAAGATGCCCAAAACAAACTCTGAAACAAATGTGCTGGTCTGCACGTCATCCATGACATCACATCAAAAGAATGGTGCCGGATAGATTTAAAATAGAACACAGGATGATGATTATCAATCAATCAAGTGCCATCTTCATAATAGAGGTTGGCTGCAATGGATCACCAACAAGCTCTTTCTTTCGCATTGGATATAAACTCTCTCAGATTGCTGTTCAAGCTTTTTATAAGAGCGTAAAGTCTTTTGATATGACCAAAATATTTGCGGTCTTATTTATTTCCGTTGGCAACTCTCTTTTTTCAGTATGTCTTTTCACACTTATTCTACTGTACATCTACATCTGGATATGACTGTATATAAATGGTCGAACTTGTAATTTTTTTCTCAAAAGGAATCGGAATTGGAAACTATATATATTTACACCGATAAAAAAATTCTGAAGGTCAAAGGGAAAGAAAGCAGTTAACACTTTGCTCTGTCTGTATTTAGTGATTAATTCCACTACTTAAAACAAATATTCCAAGAAAAGGGTTACAAAAACTGTAGAGGACAGGATGTAGCTGTGGCCCACACCAGCCTGTCTGCTTGTGATCTAGGGTTCAACCCCCATGAAAAACTACTCAAGGCTCCCACATTTTTTTGCTTCTTCTCTTTCTCTAGTCTATAAGGGTAGATGCATTTCTTTCTCTAGTCTAAAAGGGTAGATGCATTTCTTTCTCTAGTCTATAAGGGTAGATGCATTTCTTTCTCTAGTCTATAAGGGTAGATGCATCTCTTTCTCTAGTCTATAAGGGTAGATGCATCTCTTTCTCTAGTCTATAAGGGTAGATGCATCTCTTTCTCTAGTCTATAAGAGTAGATGCATCTTTCTCTAGTCTATAAGGGTAGATGCATCTCTTTCTCTAGTCTATAAGGGTAGATGCATCTCTTTCTCTAGTCTATAAGGGTAGATGCATCTCTTTCTCTAGTCTATAAGGGTAGATGCATCTCTTTCTCTAGTCTATAAGGGTAGATGCATCTCTTTCACTAGTCTATAAGGGTAGATGCATCTCTTTCTCTAGTCTATAAGGGTAGATGCATCTCTTTCTCTAGTCTATAAGGGTAGATGCATCTCTTTCTCTAGTCTATAAGGGTAGATGCATCTCTTTCTCTAGTCTATAAGGGTAGATGCATCTCTTTCTCTAGTTTATAAGGGTAGATGCATCTCTTTCTCTAGTCTATAAGGGTAGATGCATCTCTTTCTCTAGTTTATAAGGGTAGATGCATCTCTGTCTCTAGTCTATAAGGGTATTTGCATCTCTTTCTCTAGTCTATAAAGGTATATGCATCTCTTTCTCTAGTCTATAAGGGTAGATGCATCTCTTTCTCTAGTCTATAAGGGTAGATGCATCTCTTTCTCTAGTCTATAAGGGTAGATGCATCTCTTTCTCTAGTCTATAAGGGTAGATGCATCTCTTTCTCTAGTCTATAAGGGTAGATGCATTTCTTTCTGATGATAGTTTAAAATAATGACGGTTTAAAAATGGGTCTTTTGTTGAAGATTTGTATGGGGCAAAATGGTTAATGTGCTGTTTATGTCCCTAGAGTTCAGTAATTGGTGCCTGCTGTTGAAAATATTTTTGGCTATTCCTAACCTCTTTTTTGACTTCTGTTTCACCTGCTACTATTGTCTATTATTACATGTCCAAGATAGAGACACTTGTAACTTATTGTGATTTCACTGTTGCTGCTCTTCTCCACTGTTTTTTATTATGGTCTTTTTTGTGTGTAAATTAATATCTAATCCATGCTCACAACTTCACCTATTTACTTGCTCCACTAGGTTTTGTAACATTTGCTAACTTTCTGCTAGTAACACTGTGTTTTATCTAATCTTAGACTGTTTTGTATTCCACTGACATTCAGTCCAAGCAATTATGTTGATAACAGGCAATTATTTTTGCAGGCGCTGTGGCAGTACAGTGACTAATATGGTTACATGTCAGCATGGTAGTCATGTATTGAAATCCCCTCAACTGAAATTTAATCACTGATGGGATTTCAAGCCAACCCAATCATAAATGGATACCTAGGAAGACAAGTATGCTGGAGGAGATATTAACTAACTCATCCAGGGAGTTCAGAATAGTCTAAAAATGTAGTTCTAGCATCTAAATACAACATCCCCCAGACTGGGTCTACTCTTTTTTTTTCTTCCTCACAAATTAGGCCCAGAACTCAGACTCAGAGAAGACAGGCTAACAATAATCAGGTTGGCCCAGAACTCAAACAGAGAGAAAATAGTCTAACAATAATCAGGGCAAACTGATATCTACGTTTGTAACATGGATGACTTTTTATGTTGATGCTTCGTTTGGAAGAAACACACAAATCAATTAAAAAGAAAACGCTGGTCATTCTTCATCTAATTCTTCAACTCCAAAACACGAATGCCAGGACTTTTGATTTGCTCCCAATATGGATTGCATTTTCAAAGAAGAACCTGTTGATGGTTAAGCATGTTTTGGATAGAACTGTCAGAGTTGTCTTTAGTGTCAGATGAAGATAATTTCGGCCAGATATGTGAAGATGATGAAACCAAGAGCATTATTTAGCCAAAGGGTCAAAAGGCACGCTGATCAACTACCACCCAGTCCAACCATTTTCTGCTGAGTATTTAAAAAATGTTTGTCAATGAAGGTACATGACTGGTTTAATTTTTTCAATCTCATGCCCCAACTCTTTTTTCTTCTCATATTACATTCCTCTCTTTTCTTATTTAGTGAGACAATGATTAATTTTCTTGTTATGTTTATCTTTTTGTTGTTGTTGCATCTGTTCTCTATTTATTTTATCTCGAAGAAGATGAACTAAGAATAAGAAATACATGAATATTTGTTGTAATGAATCGTACAATAATTTCAAGACTTTCATTAATGTCGTAAGTCAAATGTGAATTATTTACTGCATCTGACCTTCTTTGGATAGATGTTGAAAACTTTAGCAGCTGTTGTGCTAGTGACGGCCACAAATCTGCATGGATCCATCTTGCCAGAGTACTAGAAATACAAATAAATATTGAAACAAAAATGTCTAAAGAAAGTACTGGGGTACTGCAATATAACTACAATGTCAGATACATCAAAGGGTTCATAATTTATAGCAAAATGTCTGTGATAACTCAAGATTTCAAATTTTATATTTTAAAATGTTTACTTTCTATCAATGTCTGAACATTTACAATATAGATAAATAATGGACAAATAAGATAGGAGGTACATTAACAAAATCCATTCTTATGAGGCCAACACGATTTGATGATAAATAGTAACAGAAAAAAAGATAGAACAAACTCGAAGTTTCTTAATAAGCAAAGAAATATTTAAAATGTTAATTATGACAAATTATTTGCATTCCAGTTGGAACAAAAGAATTTAATTTTTTTTCCCCACAACAGCATATACTGGATTGCTACAAATGAATTTTTGATGACAAACATTTCTACTGTTTCCCACAGAAAAGTGCATAATAGTTGTAACAAACAGACTGTAAAATTAATGTCTAATTAGGAACAATAAAAAAAAAAGTCTTAACTGGCCATTCAATTCTATAGGGGAAAAAAACCTTTCCATTAAGTTAGATGTGGAAAATATAGACTAGGAAAAAATATTTGATAACAGTGATGAATGAAAATGATATTGAAATGAAAAGACTTTCACTTGTTGCTGAAGATAAAAAAGACCCAGATGATAGACACATTCATTGTGACACGCTATCCCATAGGCTTCTTTGAAAGAAGAAAAAAGGAGATCCTGGAGAAATAACTTTCAGTTTCCATCAAGAAATATCCCTCCCAAGCATTTATTCTGCACTTTCCATCAGTCTATATCTAAAAAGGATAATAATGTTTTTCTATCTTAAGAAATAAGGACACTCATCAACAAGGGAGATAAATAGGTGACTGATAAGGTTGATACAAGTCGAGATAGTACTTTAGCGATGGGGATAGAAGGTAGATGCCTTAGAATATAGGATTATTGCTTTGAAACTTCTAGCTTCCTGTTATCTTGCCAGTAAGATCTCTGCAGCCTCACTGGTCACTGTACTAAAATAACATTTGCCAGTTATAACTTTCAAAAACTAAAAAGAAGACAATACAGGGTTTCTTTTAAATTCTTGGCAAGTGGCAGATTCCAAAGCTTTCCAACTTGTCCATCGATGCAATGGGTATTCTAGGCTATGAAAGGGGTTCTAGATTGGTTTTCATGTTTATTTTCTAATTTCAATAATCAAAAAGCAATGATGACAGTTTTTTTTTTAAACCTATCTATTTCTTGTTACAAGTTTGCTGAGCACTTTCTATACTGTAAGGATCTTGACTCCAACAACTGTTTATATCTGTGCTCTTCAACTAGTAAAATGACATAACCAAATTTGACAAGCTGAGGTCTTACCACTCCTTTCTCCCAAATGACTGACATTCTATCCTCGACACCATTAACTCCATTAGGAATCCTGGTGAAGTCATCCTTGCCAAGAGCTTTCTGATTAGCATTAAACGTGCAGTTATCTGAGCCAGTCAGTTGAAGATCATTGCTAGTTAAAGACAAACAAACATTGCAAACCATAAGAGCTTTTCTTTAAGCAAAACACATTTAATACATTTTAATTATGAAATTAAAAAAATAATATTCAAAGTTAAACAATACTGGTCATACACAGGGTTATGTATTGTTTATTTATTTCCATCACAGGGAAATCCCCAGAGACCCGCTGAAGGTAACTTGGATTCACATATTCCTCAAAATTAACGTGTAACCTGAACAGTCTCGAACTCGAGACTTAACCTTCAGACTATGTCTGTTTGAGCCATCCTACTGATAGAACCATTGAGTTCCTTGTGCTGGCCAGTATTGTGGTCCAGTCACTTTATTCTGTGTGTGTGTTAAGCTTTGAGTGTTCTGACTCAACAGACATTGTACCGTTGCGATGTTTCTGATGTTCCAGAACTCTCGAGTCAGTTACCTGTTACAGTGCATTTGTTGGCAGTTATATTGTCTTTTGGCTACAAGACTGATATGGGTCTTTCTTCACATTTTGTTATGCAAGGGGGCTTATTTAGCACCAGTTCGGTGTGGTTCCCCATGCCCACGATAATGTTTGGACACCGGCTTATTTACCAGTACTAAAGGGTTGTTACAGACACTAGTGGGTATTTTGTGAGCTAAAAGGAAATGCCATCCACAAAAAAATGATTATGGCTACTCATTGAACCAAGTGTGCAGTGCATTCACTAGGTCTGTACGTGTGTTGCCCCTTGATAGCTTTTTTTTCTTTCAAAGTCAGAACAAATGAAAATCGCATGGTGACAAATCAGGACAGGTTGGATGTTGAAGAATTTCCCACTACTTTTGTGCCGACACTGCCTACGCCTTTGCAAATGCGAACAAGCATTATCATGCAACAAACTCACGCAGTGAGAAAGCATACGGGGATGTTTATTCTGGATGGCTTTATGCAGCTTGTCTAGTGTTTCTAAGTAGTGGGTAGAGTTGATGTTAACACCAGTTCCTTAAAGGTCTGCCAACTGCCCTTCATTGCACGCACGCGCTCACACACACACACAAAATGCCTTCTCAAGGGAAACCTGTAACTTGCATTTTTTGGTGATCCGACGTGCTTCCACTGCATGCTCTCTCTTTTTTTCTGCTCGGCTCAAAGTAGTGTTACCATGATTCAATGCCTGCTACTATGCAGAACAAAAATCCCTCATCATCCACTCTGGACTGCAGCCAGTGGTACTAATACCATCCCATGTGTTCCTGCTTTTGGTAATCAGTTAACGTCTATGGTACCTTTGTGAACACATCTTCTGATATTGTAGTCTTACATAGAACCATTCAAACTGTCCCAACTGACACACTAAATTCTGTCACTAGCAAAAGTTTTCTTCAACAACGGTTCACCTGTGTTGCTACATCATTTTTGGCAATATGTTTTTCTTTTTCTTTGTTGCAACAGTACGCACTTGACCTGGTTGTGAAAGGACCTAACAGGAGCTCATGTCCTTTTCAAAACATTCGTGCGCAGTCGGTCACTGATGTCTTTACACACATTTGTTACTGTACAGTGCCGGCATTCTTTAATGAATGTCAACTGGTCAAAATCCTTCGAATGAAAGAAACTGAACCACTGCTCTCTGAGCTTTTTTTATGGATTGATTTTGGATCAACCTCATCATTTTCTCAACGGTCAGAAACAGAATCTATGCATCGTGGGACGATAACTATGTGTTCTTTTATTTATTTGTCAGTACTCACCACATGACTATCACATAATCATGTTCGACCCATGCAATTATGCACCGTACAGCACAAACGTGTTTCAAATGAATGCTCATAATACAAACTTCTTCTTTCGTTCGCTTGAAGTAGTTTTCTATATCTGCAGTGTTGTCTCTAGTATGAACTTCACTGTCTTTTGTAATTCACTCAGCGACCCGTAAAGTTTGACTTGCACCAATGTTTCTCTTGACCAAAAGTTTTGCCCTTATATGTTGTATTTGGGACAGTCTTGTAGGACATAAACTGTTGTCTCAAACAGATAATACAAACTGACAATGATGTGCTGCAATATGAAGAGATGATATGAATGAGTGCTTAGTCAACATATTCCAAATGGTTAGAAAAAGGGGGGAAACTTACTTGGCCAAAAGGTCCATGAGCACCCCAGGTGTGGATACATCATCACGGAGTGGTGGAGACATAACATGGCCGGCTGCATGGCGCCAACATTTGTTGAAGTGATGAGTTCCATCTGTGCCTAGACATGCAGCTAATGTTTCTCCAAATACAATCTTACCTGTAGAAATATGAGCAAACAATTGAATTAACGTTTCTTTCCCCTGTGGGATCCAGGGCCCCATTTTGGGGGAAGAAAGAATAAGACTCATGCACTAAGAAGTATGTTGTAAAATGTGAATAATTAGGTGTGACTTTCGGTCAATATGGATAACAGCAAGTTTACCATCTTTAGTCGTGGCAAATCTTTGCCAATAATAGTTGACTGCTGCATTTTCCTCCGAAGGTAAACTGAAAGGATAAAGTTTTGTCACCCAGCTACTGAGTTGAGTACATGACACGACTATTTGAGCTGAGGATAACATTTGGAATGATTTTTTACTGTGACCAACATGTTTTATGTTATTAACTGTAGATTCAGAAAATGGTCGGCAGCTGATACCAACATGTTTTATGTTATAAACTGTAGATTCAGAAAATGGTCGGCAGCCTATTGCCACAGAACTAACTGGTGTCATGTGATTAATCGCATGTGCAACTACTTATCTGTTGTAACTGCTGCTTCCATTGACGATGAACTGTACTTCTAATGTTGGACTGTTTCTGTTACAACTTCTGATGACTGCCTTATATGTTTAATGCATGTGTATGCTTTTGGATTTGCTGAGACTCCACAAGAGATAGTGACGGACATTCTGTGTGGTTTCCTTTGGCACAGGAACTGAACAACTATGGCATGACCTGTTTGCTATGAAACTGCAATTACCTAATTAATGTTTCTGCTGCTCTGGCAGAAGATTTAATTTCTTCTGGGTTCAACAAAAGATGTAACTGCATTGTGCCCATTTACAGCATGGCCGACACATCTGACCTCTGCAGGCATTTGTTAACTGGGTTAGCCTTCCCAGTTGAAGATTCAATTTCAAAGTGTATATTTATTATTTTGTCATTTCTTTTCTTCATTTATTATATTCAAAGTTACTATTTAATTTTTTTTAAAGCAACTGGAAAATATCGTCTCTCTGACTGCTGATAAATCTGTTAAATGTAAACATTCACAATCATTATTTGTCTTTAAGACTATTTCACTTCTAGTCTTTTGTCTTTTGTGCCTGTTGTAAAATAAAATATTCTAGAATGCGGGGCACAGTTCATGTTATTTATACTGACTACATAACTTTTCCCCATGTTTCTTATCCCCAGCGCATCACACCTGCCAAACCCTGGTGTGTTGTCTTTCTAGTATGTACAGTTGAGAATTTATCTTACATCAAGCTGATGACATGATGTCTGTTATTTCAGAGTCTGCTAAACAGTGACAATGCCTGGATGTTCAATGAGAATGCGTGAGTGTGTGTGTGTGCATGAAAGAGAAAGAGAGAGTTGGAGGAAGAGATATGAATAAGAGGGGTTTGAACACACACACACACACAGACAGAGGGGGAGAGAGAGGAAGGAAGGGTAGAAATTGGGAGAGGAAGAAAGGCTCTATATGTCCTGAAAAGAGGCTCTCTCTGGTCTGAAGTCACTAAAACAGAAGTGTGTGTGTGTGTGTGTGTGTGGGGGGGGGGGGTGGTGGCAGAGAATAAATACCCTTTAAAACAACATGACATTTTTTTAAAATGATATGCAAAAGTTAGGGCCCTTTTCGTGTAAGTGGTGTATCTCTGGCATGTGATGTTAGACAATTTGTGCAGACCAATTAGCACTCAGTGGGCAGTGTGGTCAACATCATGCTGGTCGCCTTTACTTCCCAGGATGTTACCTATTTCCACTTTAGGCTGGGTCGGTATAGAAGCCGAGGTTTATATCGGTATCCAGGTTGCCCATTGACTGGCCTGTAGATGACTTCAGGACAGTATCTTCTGTCTCCTTAGAGTACATCAACACTGTAAGAGACCTTTTATGTGGCACATATAACCTAGTCACAATTATAACATAAAGCTCCCCTCCACGGATGCTGGCCGAACGTGACAATTTTGTCCCTGCAAGTCAAGGAGCCGAGGTCATGTTGAAGAAAAAAATCAGACTTGATGGGGATTCAAACCCAAGGTGTTCAGGCTGGCAGGACAGCATCTGTCTGCTACATATAGCTCCCTTGTTACTTGTCCGTATCAACATTCTAGCACATCCGTCCGACCCCTTCGTGCTCCAGATGCAGCAGCCATCTTAGTGTTTCCATGCCGCAGGCTTGTCCCCATTTAATCCCATTTCAATCGAGGTTCATTGTTTCATATTTCATCTCAAAGTCTTTAGAACACACTGCATTCAGTATGTCTGCTCTGTCCATACTTCTCCACCAACCACTGCAAGCATGGTGTCAATCTGTCATCTTTTTCACAACCCCCCCCCCCCCCTCCTCCCCCCCCCCCCCCCCTTTCTGGTGTGTACAGCGAAGAGGGTTTCTTGAGGCAGAACTTCTGGATACGTCAACCCAGTCTAGTTAGAGTTTGCCAGTTTTGACCTTCACGAGCATGCTCATCGAGTCTGTCACTTTCAATGAATGAGTTGCTTTCTGATCCACCAGCCATGCAAGTGACAGCCGCTATCTCCATTGCCGTGCTAGAAATAACTGAATTCAATGACTTAAAAAAAAAACTCTTTCCATTCAACTGTGCTGTGTATGCTGACCCAGATTGCACTCCATGAATCAATGAGCCATCTGTATAGATGATAACATCATCTGGTCGAGTGTGCTTGTGAATGAGGGCCCTTGTTTTAGCATCAGCGGTTACTTGGCTCCACTCCCTGCAGCATCTACCTAGGGTGATTATTACCTCATTGTGCTTCCGTAATTGTTCTGGTGTTTATAATCATTCAGCTTGACATGTTCTACTGGACAAATTTGTCTAATAGTATCCTCTGCTTCTGCCATCCATGACTGCTCCCTCTTTAAGTGCTTATCTTTGTTCACATTTCGGCAGCTGTGCAGTGTGTGTTTTATGTCAGCAGAAACAAAGGTACGCTTGTGCCTGCCTGGGTCACCTTGTATCTAGTGACCATGTCTGGCAGGCTGAGGATGTATCTCGTGAAGGCATCATCCGAGGAACAGACTCATGGCTTCAATTTGCATTTTCTCTTGTCTTTCCTGCCGATATCTGCTGACACGGTGGAGGCCAAGGGAACAGTCAATCAATGACATCACCAAACTGTAATAAAGCAGCCATCTTCACTTCATTTTGGCTGCTACCATCATCCTGAGCACGGCTAGGTCTCATCAGCAACATGATACTGGAAGGACAGACATCATTAAAGTGGATACCAAGATTTTTAAGGTATTGTGACCTTTATTGTAAAGATCATCCTAGAGGGAAAGGTTCAAGGTAGGCGAGCAAAAGGCAGACAGCGTTACAAGTGGGAGGATAACATCAAGAGATGGACGAATTGCAGTATGGGTGAGTGTACATCAAGGGCAAGAGACAGGGCTTGGAGATCCATTGCAGCCAACCTTCATTGTGGAGACGGCACCTGATTGATTGATTGACCTTTAAATATCATCTCCACACATACTGACAATGGGCGTGCACATCTTGACAATTCTGTTGTTTAGTGAGAACCATGTCACTGTAGCCGTAGCTTTAGCTGTCTCCCCCTGTCTATACGTCAGTACATTATCAGTCCCATAATCTGGATGTGGATGCCCTTGTTGCGTATAAGTTGAATGGAAAAGGTGACAACGGTAACCCCTGGCATGATGGTCCACTGCTCTGACATTTATATCCCGCCCTGAATCACTTCCGTTCTTTCAAGAAGAATGCCACTGACCCAGTTGATCAGGGCTGGATCCATATTCATGTTTAATGGCAATATCATGGGGTCTTCATAGGGAACACAGTTGTATGCATCCTCAAGATCAATGGCTGCGCGTGAGTGCACACACACACACATATATATACAATCCTCCAGAAGTGTTTAGTACACTTAGCTAATGAAAGCGATGTGAACACAGCAAAAAATTCCAATGCACCCAATTTGAACATTAAGTACAGTAGCCTACCTTCCCTCCTAGCCTTAGATATGACGTCTGCTGCAGTTTTTCCCATGACATGGACAACATAAAGTGGAGCTCCAGCCTGATCAGCAATTGTAATGGCCCGTGTGGTTGCCTCCACTTCACACTAGTATTCAGATTTTTTTTAAAAACATGATTATACACAAATTACAGAGAAGAAGCAAAGCTGCTTAAAACAGAGCTACAGACTGTGATAAATTCCACTGCATTCAAATTCATAAATGGGGAAAACAAACTTTTTTTTTTAACATTGTTAAAATGATTTTTTTCTAGCTGTATTTTTATTTATAAAAATGGGTTAAAAAAAATTAGCGTTATGAAGCCAAAGACTGAATTTGAAAAAATCCTTGGTTGTTGGCCAAACAAGACATGCTTTATGACAGGCCATGTTTTTAAAACAAAAGTAAGATTTTAATCTCAACAGTTAATCCTTTTACAGATGTAAAAGCAATGTTTAATGGACACATCAATGTATAACTAACTGACAATCCATCATCCATCATGTAGCAGGTCCTTTGCAGAATGTCACTCTCATCACAGTTTGCCTGAAAAAAACAACTCGATCTCTCACCAGTTCTCCCGCCTCATGTACTTTCATACTCAAGGAATCACTTATATCCTGTGCCCATCTTCATGTCGGTTGGCTCCTGCCCCTCCTTCCTGGTACCATGCCTTCTGCTATAATTTTTTCCAATCCGTCGAGGTGTTTGATATGACCAAAATATTTCAGCTTCCGAAATGACAATACAGCCACAAATAAAATTGTATCCAGCAATGAACACATAAAAAAAGCAATCTATATATCCTCTCCATTACTGGATAGTTTAAAAATAGTTGTATTTTAAAAAAAAAAACATTGTGCCATTTCCATAATTAAGGTTGGTTGCAATGTATCCACTGCTGATTATATGAATATGACATGGTGAAGCTCCAATCTCGTCCACAGTCTATCCTAACACTTTCTAAAGAACATGAAACAATTTTTTTTCCCCTACAGACCCAGTGAGAATTTAGCCCTGGTAAATGTTATGCATTTCGATGTGAAACCATTTCAATAACTATAGGTGTATATTTGTGTGCAGTCAACCCAACTGTGGAGTGGAGAAACCTAGACACTGAACAAGTAGTCGGGTTGAAGTGAGTCTCTCAAATGTGGACTTTCAGTAGAACAGGTCATGTTTCAGTGGAAAACAAAATACAGTCAAATACAGAAGTTCTGGGGAGATGGGTATAAAGACAGTTACTGAAATAAATATAAAAAAGAGTGTGCTAAATATTTCAACCGGATTAAAAGACAAAACACTAATAAAAACTATAAAGAACGTACAAGAAGGCAAATGATTTCCAATGGAAATCTTGACATGCAAGGATGCTGTGGAATCAAGGAATGAAACACTTATGAAACACAATATCCTGAAAGCCTAATGAAGATTTGCAGGTCTGGCTCTGAAAATTGGAGAACATCGCTACCTTTTGCAGCCAGACTGCTGGCAAAGAGGTTTATAATCAGTTACATAAGTCAGCTAGAGGCATACTGTTCCAAAGTCAAAAGCTATACCCACCAGAATTCCCCCCCCCCCCCCCCCCCCCCCCCAAAGGAAGAGTTTTTTCTCTAATCAGCCACTTATGAATGTATGCTAGGACTGACTGATGACCTCTGCAGCAATAACAGACAAACCAACTTGTAGGACAACGCACAAGTAGTAGTTCTTTTGGTATTAATTAAGTATCTTCTCAGTCAGCACTTATGAGAGGTTTTGAACAACAGATCAACATCATGGCACATGAGTAGTAACCCACAAGTGCTCCGTTCTTCTTCAAGCCTCAGTCCGAAGAAGCTCAGCACAATGCACGGGCTCGGTAGCACCGGCGAGGATCCTGACTTATGAGAATGTCCCAAGTGCGTTGATGTTAGTCAGTTCTTCGCTCATTCAATGAGAACTTTAAAAAATAAAACAACAATAATATTCTATAATTTCAAATTTCACATCTCATATACTGACCTCTTCTGGCCGACTCTGTAAGTGTCCTTCCGGACCTGTGACGCCCTGCTGAAGTAATTCTCTAGATTTCTGTTAGTGATATCAAACAAAATAATTTATTGTGTTACACCACTTAAGAATACTGATATCAACAGACAGCATGATTTTCCCTTTTTTGCACATGTGTAGTAGACATTTTAAAAATGCAGGGCTATACTGAAATAGGTCATAGTCTATTTCAACATAAAATATTCTTGTGTATTTGTTATCATCATCTGGTATCTTGCCATCATGCCTTTCAGTTCTGTTTTCTAAGCAGTATGAATGCATTCATATGCCACCAACAAAGGACAGGAAGTTACGTCAAAACCGTGCAGTGCCCCAAAGTTACTGTTTAACACAATCTGTTTTATTCACATTTGAAATGCGGCTTTTTGAGTCACTAGGTGGTTCAATTTCAAGCTGCAAATTCCCAAAAGAGTAATAAAATGTTGGTTTTTAAAAAAATAACAAACACTGTCCATGCCATTATATAAGAAAGTCTTGCTGCCTTCTTGTACCCATTTCCCCCGTAATGAAAGGGTCTGATAAAGGAGGGAAATTAAATTTACCTCCATGCTTATTATCATAGCAAATAAACAAGAACAGCAAAATGTAGTAAAACCTGCAATTTTGAAAAAGTCAGCTAAAATTGATGAGCCAAGCACACCCAAAGATTGCACGTGCACTACTGCAGATGAAAGTATGTTTTGACCATGTCTACAGAACAGGAGATGACTGCCACAAGCATCTGAAACAAATAGCCAAGACTCCAAACTGGCTTGCTACTTCCATTTCATAGTGCACTATACCAACTACCAAGACTTTTCTTGACACGGGTGGGTCTTGCTAGTCACACTCGCCATCGCCATAGGCAGTGAGTCCCATGCCTCCACATAGCGGAATATAACACTATCATCTGGAAAGACAAAAAGGTGCCAATCACACCAACTGACACAGTTATTAAGACATTCAAACATAAGTCTGACACCAAGAAACAGATTATAAACAGCATATTCATACCAACACTGTGCTACCAGTGCCAGACTTGGACATTATCAAAGGCTTAGCTATGTAAAATTAACAACCGAGAAATGGGGTGCCTGAACAAGTGACAACTTAACCATCCAAGATGAAGTTAGAAAGAATATTATTAAAGAGACTGTGGGGACAACATCATGCAGCAAATTCATTGAGAAACAGAAAATCAAATGGTTTGGTCATCTAGTAAGAATGCAGATACAACAACTACCAACACAGGTGCTGCACATGAAAATATCTAATGAGAAAGCAAGAGGCTGCCCTGGGAGAAGATGGATTGATGACATTAAAGAGCTTCTACATCGACACAAAGAGAAATAGCGACTGCTACCCTTCCAAAATTTTCCTCCCCGCGATATTGTACAGCAGAAGTGGCAATTGATAATGATGACTACTTCCATTTTACTCTGACAGTAACTGTTTCATAATTAAGATAACCCAAGAACATTCATAAATATTTTGGCTATATGCTAAGAACTTCAATTTATAACACACATGTTTGCAGACATTCAAATAACAAAACCAAACATATATCCTTACAATGTCAATCAGATGTCCATTTTCAGCATGAACCATTGGAAGAACTTTCAGCTGCTTGCAGCGTCTGAAACAGCTATATATTTCAGGGTCTTCTAGCATCAGTGTATCTTTATATGCCATAAACACTTTAAAGGAATTCACTCCTGCAACAAAATGTCAAAAGTCAGTTTACCAACTGCTTTCATTACTCAAGCATCAGCATAATAATACAGAAGTCAAGTGGCAAAACATAGTATTTCTACCCAAACAGCAGGCAGTGAGGATAAGCTTACTATATACATATGAAACATAATTAGAATAGTTTTTTTTAAAATGCAAGCTGTATGGCCAGCAAATTGAGACAAACTACTATAAATTACCGATTTAAAAACAGAATTTATCCTCTGTTTATCTGCTATAACCCCATCGTCAGGTTATTAGCTTTTTTTTTCTGACAAAGAAATAAAATGGGGGAAAAAGCAAATTTACAATATGGCACAATTGCATATGTGATTCTTAGTAACTGCTTTTATATTTATTCATGCCATATCAGGAAATGAATATAGAAATTACCTTTTTCAGAACTGAGCACTTCCATCTCCCTGGCCACCTGATCGCTCCACCAAGTCACTGCAACATGGAGACCATAATCACAGCACACTTTTGCATCTGCCCAACCTCTCCATTTCTCATAGGCATCCAGCAGAGACTCTCCTTTCTCAGGGACCACAAAATCAACTACAGAAAGACAAGTAGGTGCTGGTAAGGACATAGCAGAAATCTATACAAGATTCTAGGGAATCCATTCATAAAACTGTAAATTAGACATAGTGATAAAGATGTTAACAATAGAAAGTGTTTCACTTAGTTTTAGAGCATGCATATATCTATAATAATAAAAATGTAAATTTCCGTTGGTTGCAATAGCTAATCTCCAAAGTTCTTCACAGACTGCTTTTACATTTTCATGCAACGCTGTTTTCGAGAGAGAGAGAGAGAAAGAGAGAGAGAGAGAGAGAGAGAGAGAGAGAGAGAGAGAGAGAGAGAGAGAGAGAGAGAGAGAGAGAGAGAGAGAGAGAGAGAGAGAGAGAGAGAGAGAGAGAGAGAGAGAGAGAGAAGAGAGAGAGAGACAGTCAGACACACAGACAGACAGAGTGTGTGTGTTACAAACGATATAAGTATCAACGGTTGTTATCGAATAGGAGTATTAGGATATCTGAGCATCTTACTGTATATTTTTCTCTGCAGTCCTCTGTTATTCTTTTTTTTTCACATTAAAAAAATAAGCACTGATTTAATTTACTGTATGCCTTTTTTCTTTTTCTTTCTTATCTTTCCTTGTAATTCAGTCAGATTTGCTTATATATAAAATATACTACTCATCAAAGGTCAAGGGTCACTTAGAAAAATCTTGGTTGACAACATAAAAAAAATCTGATATAAACATAAGTAATATCTGTTCAAACAAAATTTACTGAATACTAAATTGACTTGTCACATAACAAAATGAAAAAAATACATTCAAACATGTAACGAAATGGAAAAATAAATTTAAACATAACAAAGCTGTGAATGGGCCATCCACTTTTTCAAAGGTCCCACAAGAGATAATGGACAACAGCAATGTTCACTGGGTGGAGGTGATTTTGTGTGTGTGTTGACAATCATCAACCAAAGACAACCCAGAGCTGTTCAGTCGGAGAAAGGTCAAGTGAATGAGCTTGCCCTGCCATCCTGATGATCCAATGTTTGCTTAATAATATCATTTCACCATCATTCGGATTGCACCAGAGACACCCCACCCCAGTGATGTGTAAGCGATACATCCTTGGTTTGCCAACTGTTGCAGGTAGACATAAGGTGCTGCAGTCAAAGTCATATCTCAGGGTAGTTGCAGACACGGATCATCCTTTGCATGAAGCTCTGGGCGCAGTTAAGGGTCAGTGGCTGATAAGAGGGAAGTCACGGATGGCTCAAGCAGAAGACACAGACATGTTTGCATCCTGGAGATCATTAGGAGTGGGTCAAAGTGCCACCCCAACTCAGACCCGTGTAGGGTCATAAACACATTGAGCCGGGAATGCAGAGACTGGCCTGCAGGTGCCTTGGAAGTGGAAGTTCAGCAATTAATTTAAGATAATGCTCCCTCAGAGGATTTGATTATTTATACAGATGGTTCAGTGTCAATAGGCAAAAGAAGTGCTTGGTGTTTCTTAGCAAAAGTTAATGGTGGATGTTTCATGCAGGAGAGCCTAGCATATGATACCACAAAATCCAGCTTAAGACTGGAGGTGGAGGTGGTCACGGCAGCTTACTGCTGGTTGGAGAACACAACACACACACACTGTGATTGTAACTGACTCAGAAAGCATGCTGAGGAATGTCAGGACAGGCATGCTTAGAGCAGAGTGGCATGCTTCGCTGCGGAGGACACGGGTGAGGAATATTGTCTGGATTTTTCTCTCCGGGAAACGCCAGTGTGATGGGAAATGAACAGGCAGACAGACTGGCTGGCTCTGAACAACTTGGTGGAATACTGATTCATGCGAAGGCAGACGTGGTTAGGGCCTTATGGGAGAGTGTGTACAGTTCGGATGAGCAGATGGATCACCATAGTCTGGTGAGATTGATGCAGCGGGAAGAGACGATGGGTTATGACTGATGCTTGAGGCTCAGAGGAAAGGCAAGACGGATGTTTAATCAGAATGCTACTGCTGCACCATGAGTATTGGAACTCTGCACTGGTTGCTGAAGATGGGGATAGAGTGATTATGGGAATGCCCCGAGTGCTGTGATGTCGGTTCTTGAATCAACTCAACTCACAGTAAGCTCAAGGAACACCATCAAAGAGAATAACGGCACCTTTGATGTTACAACTAGTAGCCTAGAAACTGCAGTTGTAACAAGGGCATTAGCATGGCTTGGTACTCAAGAGTGTGCAGACTTAACCCCCTGACTACCGTGCCTGTTAATCCTTGCACTTTCCTAGATACCATGTTATTTAATATGTACAAAAAATACCATAGCTTTACAGTATTTAACATACACTTATCATATTTTGGATTTATTGCACAAAATTTAAAGGGGAAAAGGTTTATTTTGTTCTACATCATCACAATGTGGCTGTCGAATGGTGCAAAAAAAGAAGGCAACATTTTAAATCTGTTATCAGACAACAAAATAGACTAACAAATATATCACAGCTTCACAATTGTTCAACGTTCACTTGTATTTTGAATTTTTTGCATAAAACTGAATGTAGAGCACATTAAAACAAATTGGGTTTACTTTGTTTGACCATTATTATCATCAAATGGCTGTAGATTGGTGCAAAAAAGGCAACCGAAAAATCTTTAATCTAACAACAATATAAATAAACTAACAAAAATGACAGCGAGAGTCCAAAATTACGATTGCAAGGGGTGTGATCGAAGTAGCCAGGCACAAATGTCAGAATCTCATAACGTGTGAATTATGGCAGTCAGTGGGTTAAAGACTCGACGAATATGCTGAAAAGAAATCCAGGCTAGTTTCACCACATAAGAAACTAAGCACTTCGCAAATGGCTGCCCTAACCTTCATCTTTGTGCAAGGTCATGTGTGTGTTCAAGGGAACAAGCATGCAGATTATCTTGCAGACATTGCGGTTGCTACTGCTTGTCCAGTACAGGACAGAAGTGACGTTATCAATGTCATGAGCCACACTGACCGCGATGACGAGCACGCTAAAGGGCATGACTCCGTATCCCTGTCTAGACTGATGGACATGGGAGGTGCAGGCTGGAGCTGCAAGAAATTAACTTAGGGGACAAGATGTTTCATGAATCAACACAGAACAGGTGTCATCAGTCATTTTACACTTATAGAGCTTTTGAGGAGGAGACTGGAGCACCTATGGATCTGTCTGGATGCTGTGATATCTTTACTAATCACGATACAAAACAAAATTGCCACTATATCATTTCTTTTGTTCAATTACAAAAGCTATATTTCAAGGCAAGGAACAGACCCAAGACCTTGGTGACAACTAGCAAGATTTGATAAAAAGAGGATAGGGGAAACATAAATATGTAAATACCCTGAGGCCTTGAGGGTAAAAACGAAACAAGAATGAAAATGTATTTAAAACTAATTTACAGTAAAATACTTACGGACTGTAGTGGTGCCACCTGCAAGCGCCGCCTTTGTGCCACTGTAAAAATCATCAGCTGCTACCGTACCCATGAAGGGTAACTGAAAGTGTGTGTGTGTGTCAATGCCACCTGGCAGAAACAGTTATAGGAAAATGTTATGTTCTGTGATACATGGAACTCTTTATAATGTTCTTAGAATGCTCTATGGCAATTTTAGTCTATCAGAAATAATATTTAATGAACAATATTATACATATTGGCTATCCTCCGAATAAAGGTCCCAAATTATCGAGGTCGAAAACATAGCCTAACAACGCCTCAGTCACATGTAAATTGCAGACCTCTTTCCGGCGACTACAAAGCATACAGCGGAAAAAGCTTCCCCCAAGTTAAAGTCACTGTTGAGAGTTTTCCCTGCGCCGCTAGCAGCAGCTACAACTCATGGAGCTTCCTTCATTTTATTTGCTCGTGAGTCCCAGCCATCTAGCTTAGCCCCACGAGGCGCGGAAGATACTCTCGGCGGTGGCGGTATAGCCGCCGGAAAGAGGTCCGCAATTTGTATCTGACTGAGGCCCTGTTAGGGTATATTTTCAGCCTCGTAATTTGGGACCATTATTCGAAGGATATCCTACATATTTATAATTTCTAAGAAAAACACTTGTTGCAAATAAAAAAAAAAAGAATTATACCCTGTACAATAACTGATAGCCTTGTATGGAAATAATAACAAACAAATAGCTACTGTCAAAGTGTACTATAAAATGCTAATCCCAACCTATTCCCGGGGGCCCCAGAAAATCATTTTCATAGAAAATGGCAGCAAATATTCTCTTCACAAGGCTGCATTGTGGGGAAAGTGTTTGCTGTGATCATTGTGCTGGGGAATTTTTGTAAAGACGCTATGCTATTTGTCTTTTTTTTTTCAAAGAGGCAAGGCTGCTGATTCACTACTCAAAGATTAGGACGGGGTATGAAATCACAGATTCTTCTAAAAGATTGTCTGAGGGAACAGTCTTCAAATGCCTTTGAGTCAAATAATATTTGTTAGAGGAAACTGTTTAGATAGTTGCCTATTTCAAAACTTTAAAAAAAATCAGCAAGCCAGACTAACAGTGAAGTTGACATTTGATCAGACTAATAGTGAAGCTGACATATGACCAGACTAACAGTGAAGTTGACATTTGATCAGACTAATAGTGAAGCTGACATATGACCAGACTAACAGTGAAGTTGATAGATGACCAGATTAACAGTGAAGTTGATAGATGACCAGACTAACAGTGAAGTTGATAGACGACCAGACTAACAGTGAAGTTGATAGATGACCAGACTAACAGTGAAGTTGATAGATGACCAGACTAACAGTGAAGTTGATAGATGACCAGACTAACAGTGAAGTTGATAGATGACCAGACTAACAGTGAAGTTGATAGACCACCAGACTAACAGTGAAGTTGATAGACCACCAGACTAACAGTGAAGTTGATAGATGACCAGACTAACAGTGAAGTTGATAGATGACCAGACTAACAGTGAAGTTGATAGACTACCAGACTAACAGTGAAGTTGATAGACCACCAGACTAACAGTGAAGTTGATAGACCACCAGACTAACAGTGAAGTTGATAGACTACCAGACTAACAGTGAAGTTGATAGACTACCAGACTAACAGTGAAGTTGATAGATAACCAGACTAACAGTGAAGTTGATAGACTACCAGACTAACAGTGAAGTTGATAGACTACCAGACTAACAGTGAAGTTGATAGACCACCAGACTAACAGTGAAGTTGATAGATGACCAGACTAACAGTGAAGTTGATAGAGACAGACCAGACTAACAGTGAAGTGAAGTGATAGACTACCAGACTAACAGTGAAGTTGATAGACTACCAGACTAACAGTGAAGTTGATAGATGACCAGACTAACAGTGAAGTTGATAGATGACCAGACTAACAGTGAAGTTGATAGATGACCAGACTAACAGTGAAGTTGATAGATAACCAGACTAACAGTGAAGTTGATAGACCACCAGACTAACAGTGAAGTTGATAGATGACTAACACCAGACTAACAGTGAAGTAAACAGTGAAGTTGATAGATGACCAGACTACAGTGAAGTTGATGACCAGACTAACAGTGAAGTTGATGACCAGACTAACAGTGAAGTTGATAGATGACCAGACTAACAGTGAAGTTGATAGATACCAGACTAACAGTGAAGTTGATAGATAGATGATAGACTAACAGTGAAGTTGATAGATGACCAGACTAACAGTGAAGTTGATAGATGACCAGACTAACAGTGAAGTTGATAGACTACCAGACTAACAGTGAAGTTGATAGATGACCAGACTAACAGTGAAATTTATAAACGACCAGACTAACAGTGAAGTTGATAGACTACCAGACTAACAGTGAAGTTGATAGATGACCACTAACAGTGAAGTTGATAGATGACCAGACTAACAGTGAAGTTGATAGACCACCAGACTAACAGTGAAGTTGATAGACCACCAGACTAACAGTGAAGTTGATAGACCACCAGACTAACAGTGAAGTTGATAGATGACCAGACTAACAGTGAAGTTGATAGATGACCAGACTAACAGTGAAGTTGATAGACGACAAGACTAACAGTGAAGTTGATAGATGACCAGACTAACAGTGAAGTTGATAGATGACCAGACTAACAGTGAAGTTGATAGATGACCAGACTAACAGTGAAGTTGATAGATGACCAGACTAACAGTGAAGTTGATAGATGACCAGACTAACAGTGAAGTTGATAGATGACCAGACTAACAGTGAAGTTGATAGATGACCAGACTAACAGTGAAGTTGATAGATGACCAGACTAACAGTGAAGTTGATAGATAGACCAGACTAACAGTGAAGTTGATAGATGACCAGACTAACAGTGAAGTTGATAGACTACCAGACTAACAGTGAAGTTGATAGACTACCAGACTAACAGTGAAGTTGATAGATAACCAGACTAACAGTGAAGTTGATAGATGACCAGACTAACAGTGAAGTTGATAGACTACCAGACTAACAGTGAAGTTGATAGATGACCAGACTAACAGTGAAGTTGATAGATGACCAGACTAACAGTGAAGTTGATAGATGACCAGACTAACAGTGAAGTTGATAGATGACCAGACTAACAGTGAAGTTGATAGATGACCAGACTAACAGTGAAGTTGATAGATGACCAGACTAACAGTGAAGTTAATAGATGACCAGACTAACAGTGAAGTTGATAGATGACCAGACTAACAGTGAAGTTGATAGACTACCAGACTAACAGTGAAGTTGATAGATGACCAGACTAACAGTGAAGTTGATAGATAACCAGACTAACAGTGAAGTTGATAGACTACCAGACTAACAGTGAAGTTGATAGACTACCAGACTAACAGTGAAGTTGATAGATGACCAGACTAACAGTGAAGTTGATAGATGACCAGACTAACAGTGAAGTTGATAGACTACCAGACTAACAGTGAAGATGATAGATGACCAGACTAACAGTGAAGTTGATAGATGACCAGACTAACAGTGAAGTTGATAGATGACCAGACTAACAGTGAAGTTGATAGATGACCAGACTAACAGTGAAGTTGATAGATGAACAGACTAACAGTGAAGTTGATAGATGAACAGACTAACAGTGAAGTTGATAGATGAACAGACTAACAGTGAAGTTGATAGATGACCAGACTAACAGTGAAGTTGATAGATGACCAGACTAACAGTGAAGTTGATAGATGACCAGACTAACAGTGAAGTTGATAGATGAACAGACTAACAGTGAAGTTGATAGATGACCAGACTAACAGTGAAGTTGATAGATGACCAGACTAACAGTGAAGTTGATAGATGACCAGACTAACAGTGAAGTTGATAGGTGAACAGACTAACAGTGAAGTTGATAGGTGAACAGACTAACAGTGAAGTTGATAGGTGAACAGACTAACAGTGAAGTTGATAGATGACCAGACTAACAGTTAAGCTGATACTTGAAGAGACCAACAGTTAAGCTGATAGTTGAAGAGACTAACAGTTAAGCTGATAGGTGAAGAGACTAACAGTTAAGCTGATAGGTGAACAGACTAACAGTGAAGCTGATAGGTGACCAGACTAACAGTTAAGCTGATAGTTGAACAGACTAACAGTTAAGCTGATAGTTAAACAGACTAACAGTTAAGCTGATAGTTGAACAGAATAACAGTTAAGCTGATAGTTGAACAGAATAACAGTTAAGCTGATAGTTGAACAGAATAACAGTTAAGCTGATAGTTGAACAGAATAACAGTTAAGCTGATAGTTGAACAGAATAACAGTTAAGCTGATAGATGACCAGACTAACAGTTAAGCTGATAGTTAAACAGAATAACAGTTAAGCTGATAGATGACCAGACTAACAGTTAAGCTGATAGTTAAACAGAATAACAGTTAAGCTGATAGATGACCAGACTAACAGTTAAGCTGATAGTTGAACAGAATAACAGTTAAGCTGATAGTTGAACAGAATAACAGTTAAGCTGATAGTTAAACAGACTAACAGTTAAGCTGATAGTTAAACAGACTAACAGTTAAGCTGATAGTTGAACAGAATAACAGTTAAGCTGATAGTTGAACAGAATAACAGTTAAGCTGATAGTTAAACAGACTAACAGTTAAGCTGATAGTTGAACAGAATAACAGTTAAGCTGATAGTTGAACAGACTAACAGTTAAGCTGATAGTTAAACAGACTAACAGTTAAGCTGATAGTTGAACAGAATAACAGTTAAGCTGATAGTTGAACAGAATAACAGTTAAGCTGATAGTTAAACAGACTAACAGTTAAGCTGATAGTTGAACAGAATAACAGTTAAGCTGATAGTTGAACAGAATAACAGTTAAGCTGATAGTTGAACAGAATAACAGTTAAGCTGATAGTTAAACAGACTAACAGTTAAGCTGATAGTTAAACAGACTAACAGTTAAGCTGATAGTTGAACAGAATAACAGTTAAGCTGATAGTTGAACAGAATAACAGTTAAGCTGATAGTTGAACAGAATAACAGTTAAGCTGATAGTTGAACAGAATAACAGTTAAGCTGATAGTTGAACAGAATAACAGTTAAGCTGATAGTTGAACAGAATAACAGTTAAGCTGATAGATAACCAGACTAACAGTTAAGCTGATAGTTGAACAGAATAACAGTTAAGCTGATAGTTGAACAGAATAACAGTTAAGCTGATAGATAACCAGACTAACAGTTAAGCTGATAGTTGAACAGAATAACAGTTAAGCTGATAGTTGAACAGAATAACAGTTAAGCTGATAGATAACCAGACTAAAAGTTAAGCTGATAGTTTAACAGACTAACAGTTAAACTGATAGTTGAACAGACTAAAAGTTAAGCTGATAGTTTAACAGACTAACAGTTAAGCTGATAGTTAAACAGACTAACAGTTAAACTGATAGTTGAAGAGACTAACAGTGAAGCTGATAGTTAAAGAGACTAACACTTAAGCTGATAGGTGACTAGACTAACTGTGGTGGTTGTTGACATTATCAACAATGAAATTATTAGCTGACCAGAATAACAAAACACAATATTTGTATATATTTTAATTTACTTATCTGCATATTAATGATATCTGGATTCGATTTTTCATCTGCTCTGACTTGTATGTTCTTTAGACCCTCTGTCAACCACCCATTTCTATTTCCTATCTCTTCCATCTTTGATATTCTCCTCTTCATCTCTTTTATGTCTTGTACTCGACCAAACAAGTCTTTCATCCTCTTCTGTTTCAGTGTGTTACCATCTGATCTCAAATCCACAGCCACAAATCTGGTCTTTACCATATATAAAAGTATTTGCACCAGGTGCCATCTTAATTTCCTTAGAAACTGCCATAAGGTTTCACTACCAAGATCCTGGGTCTTAAATGCTATTGAGGTTTTGATCAACGGACCAACATCATGGCACTTGGGTGGTAACCTATAAGTGCTCCGCTCTTCTTCTAACTCAAGTCTGAGTCCGAAGAAGCTCAGCACAGTGCAAAGGCTCTGTAGCACCGGCGAGGATCCTGAAATACTTTGGGTAGATTTTTAACTTCAAATTTTGCCCGGCCAGTACCAGTAGGCTACTCTTTTCGATTTCCGACTGCCAAGGGATTTTTTCAAGTGTGCAACAATGCACACAGATGTCTGACCTCACTACTGAGAAACCAGGGGGAATTACTAGACGTCCAAGTCCACATGAAGAAATCCCAGCCCTTATTGGGGATTGAACCCTGAGCCTATAGCACTCAAGGCGGACACCATTCCTTGAGACCATGTAGCCCTCCTGTCTTAAATGTTAATGGTGGCTAATGTCTGTACCAGGCTCAGGAACAGTGGGGTGTGTAGCTGACTATAATGTGCACCAAATGTTTGAGCCCAGGTCTCCCATCGCCCACCTTGATAGATGTTTACTTCAACTAACTTCTCACAACTACTTCTTTTACTGTGCCATATGGTATATTATTAGCAGCATCAACCACAAGTGATGTCTTTCCACTGCTAAGCACAATAAATTCCCCAAACTTGGTCCTACCCCTCCCACTTACTTCTCCTACCACAGGTGCGAATAATCTGGTGGTCTGTATACTTCCAGACCTCTATCTGTTCACATTCGAGAGATCTGTCCTGAGTCTTTTCATCCCTTACACCCTTCCTGTGAATCTATATGGCCTTCCTATATCAAGGACATCAACTATGCTATATTCACCTTACTGTCAATTCAATTAAACTCTCCTTCCAGATAGCACATCTTCACCATTAGATGCTACTTCTCTCTACGCACTTATTGGACTTTCTGACGGACTCCAGGCTTTGTGGTTCATTCTGCATCGCGGAGTCAGTCCAGCTACAGCCAATAATCCCTTGGCACATCTGGCTGACCTATTGCTCGCTTTCAACTCTTTTGAGCTCAATGGTCACTATATGACCAGATCAGTAGCGTAGCTATGGGCACCAAAATGGAACCTATCCATGCCTGCCTCTCCACAGGCTATCTAGAACAGTAGATACATCATCTCTTCATGTGGATTCTAGGGCCCCATTTCGGGGAGGATTGGGGGGGGGGGGGTATGGTGGAAACACTGCCCCCCCCCCAACAAGCATGTCATAAAAGGTGACTAATTAGGAATGTTTCTTTCGAAGCTGGGGTGCATCTTCCTGAGAAGCAAGGAACCAACAGTCTGCATACAAATAAACCAGATCTGTTCAAGAATGTTGATGCAAAACTCAAGTTTTGGAACACGACCAAAGTCCAAAAGTGGATGAACAACAAGAACTTTCCACTGGAGTTTACAACTAGTGAATGCTAAGAAGAAGAACATCATCAATACAACGGTAGTCTTCCGTAGCTCTACAGGAGATGTACTGATGATTGCATCTGTGTCTCAAAATATGCCTGTGAAATGCTAATTTGTTTTCTCTGAAACTTCCACCTCAGCATTCAACTCACTTCCAGCATTTCGTTGTTGTCTGTGCATTTATTTTATCTCACTTTCACTTGAAATCTAAAGGCCTTAGTACCTCAGTATACTACAAGCCTGCTGTTTCCCATACTAGTTCTCCTGTATACACCCTCCCACTCTTTTTCCTGCAAGGACTGAATTCCTTTCTCCCCAACTTCTACACCACCACCGACTGTGTCAAGAGAATGGTGGCTTTCCCTATAGGGCCCTGGAAATGCTGGATTTCTGTCAGCTCCAAGTCTCCCTGAACGTATCTTCTCCCCCGCCTTTCACCACTTGTCGTCTATCAGTTGTGCTGAGGCCCTCACTTCCAAGCCTAAACCTCTCACAACATCCTTGCCAAACAAATTATCCCCAGGCATCTCTCCACCCTAAGGGTTGACCTTGTCACCAGTATTTTTTCCTTGAACTTTCCCCTAGTAGCCTACAGACAGGATCATAACCTCAAGATGTTTTAGTCAAGAGTCAGTTACATCCCACCTCTGAAATCAACTTATGCATGGTATCCTACCATAGATCAAATGCAAGACTTGACCTTATGTGGTCCTGGCAGATAGTCTGGCATTCCCTAATGCTACTTTCCACATATGTGAAGCTTCTAATGCATGAGCTACAATATAATTTATGCCATCCTTTACAAAATATGTGGTATGAAGTACAATGGCAAAACAGGGCTAGGACTAGCTGACAGGTTCAGGCAACATCTTTCCGATATGTAGAACAGTGCCATGAAACTCGTACCGATGCAATGATACAAAAAGGTATGGAAAGACGTAATATATACACGCATAGTTTCAGTCAGCCAGAAAGAGCAATCCAGATGTTTGGAAAGAGACAACTTATCAAAAACATCAGAAAGAAACAGGCATTTGTGCAATGCACACACAAATGTTTTCATTTACAACTCCTCGGAAACACCAACAATTAAACAAAGCATACCTGGCAGCACAAACCTCCCACGAGCATCAATAGTTCTCGCTCCTCCCGGTATAACTAGGTTAGTTCCCAGTTGCCTGGGAAAGAAATCATAGACAAATTAAAACAAAAATTTATAATTAATAATCATGATACACACCATCAGCAAAATAATATTTAGGTGAAGCACTCTAAAGCCTACCAGCAGTAATACAGTTCTTTATGAACTTGTATGGTACAAGACAAATTCAATCTGAGAATTCTTCGATGTTCATCTTGCATAAATACATGACACAACAAGTCAGTACATTTTTTTAAAGGCAGAACAAGCTTTGGAGAAATGATTTTAAACCAGATAATTCTGATCTTTTCTCTTGTGTAACTGTAGTCAATCTGATCTTTTCTCTTGTGTAACTAGTCAATCTGATCTTTTCTCTGGTGTAACTAGTCAATCTGATCTTTTCTCTGGTGTAACTGCAGTCAATCTGATCTTTTCTCTTGTGTAACTAGTTGATCTGATCTTTTCTCTGGTGTAACTGTAGTCAATCTGATCTTTTCTCTGGTGTAACTGCAGTCAATCTGATCTTTTCTCTGGTGTAACTGTAGTCAATCTGATCTTTTCTCTGGTGTAACTGTAGTCAATCTGATCTTTTCTCTGGTGTAACTGTAGTCAATCTGATCTTTTCTCTGGTGTAACTGTAGTCAATCTGATCTTTTCTCTGGTGTAACTGTAGTCAATCTGATCTTTTCTCTGGTGTAACTGTAGTCAATCTGATCTTTTCTCTTGTTTAACTGTAGTCAATCTGATATCAAGAAATGAATCCACTCAACTGTGAAACTGTGACTAAGAAGCTTAATGAAGTGGGAAGGAGGGAAAACACACAAGAATAATCACACAATTCCTCTGAAAACGAGGATCCTTGCAAAGACATCCTATTGATTAATATTCGCTTCTTGGAAGATTTAAATCATGCACACTTGATTATCATGAAAAAAGAAAAGCTAACCCAGTTGTCTTCTGATATCAGTCTTGTGTCGAGACATAAAATGCACTCATTGTCTGAGTTTTGTATGTCACTTGAAAGGACTATCCATGTCCGAGTTAGAGCTTTCGGATTCTTGGTCAGATTTACCACTTCCTATTTGTGTGAAAAGCTTTCTCTGCCATGTCAGTCACTACTGTCTGTTTGACCACTGTTTAGGGTGGTGCAGACAGAGGGCCTTGAGCCTGAGGATTTAGGGCTGCCTGGCTAGGGCTGTCACCACGGACTGTGCATGTTAAGATGTTTAATTCTCCCATGTCAGTAATAAAACTAAAACAGAAAAACCGAATGAATGTTACAGTTACTCTCATGTTTCCCCAATCAGAACTAATGCTCCATGTATATCATATTTTCTAAACCTTTAAGTAGCATCAGATATCACATTAGCTGAAAATGTTAATTTTGTGACATCGGATTTAATCAATAAACTGGCAACTACATTTTTTTTTGTTTCCATGTACGGTTACTGTCAGATGGGCTGCAAAACAATTTTCCCCCCTTTTGGTTGGCTGTGGGTGTTAAGAGGTTGAGAAACTGATTTAAAGATAGGCTGAACACTGATTATTGCTGTGCTCAGAAATCCTAAACTATGAATATGAAAATTTTCCAAAGAGGAACATGTGGCTTGATCTCCAGAACAAGATTTCATGGTGGCGATAGAAAATGATATATCTGTGCTAATATTTTTAAAAGTTATTAAGTTCATAGTGTGTGTGTGTGTGTGTGTGTGTGTGGGGTGGGGGGGGGGGGGGGGCGGGTGAGTGCATGTGTGTGTTTGCACACATGCGTGTCGCATACTCTCTCACACACATGTCAGGCGGGCAAAATTGATTTATAGACTATTTCCTGATAGCAGATTGAGCCAGAAATTCTGCTTACACCCACTTTATCCATGCTAATGCAATGTGGTGCAAAAATATTCCCCCAAAAGTTAGGTTTTATTTATAACTTTGAGTGTCAAAGACATTACGTGGACAAGCAGCAAAATATCTATTTTCAAGGAAATTAATCCAAAAGAACCTCACCAATTTTGTTAAAAAGAATTATTTCAATTTTTCTATATATTTAACTATATGATACATTTGCTTTTTGCCTTTCTAATGTATTAATTATTGTATGCATTTTAAATAAAACTGTATCATATAAAAAAGTTTTTTTTAATATATTTCTGTAAATGTGTACGGTAGTCACAAACTAAACCGTATTCAGTGATGCCTGGCTCAGTGCAATCCCCCGTCTATTGTGTGTGACATTTTAAAAACAAAACTATTTCGAATAATCATTAGAAATCGCCAGCTATATAGCACTGTTGATCAGACTAGCAATTTTTCCAAGAAGTCCTAGATGTTCAGGTTTATAAAGCACCACATGTAAGTTAATTGTCTCACTTATCCATGTCTGATTTGCTGTAGCTACACCATCTGCTTCTAACTATACATCTCATTATTGCTATCATTTGTGTCCATCCCCTGCTGGATGCAGCTGTCTCTTCTTTAGAAGCTTTTTTTTTTTTGGAGCTTCAAAATACCAGAACTTGATATTTTCAATGACCTGTGTGCTGCAAGGCATTTCAGCAGTTCCTTCTTCTTCTTCTTCTTTCGTTCACATGAAATAAATTGTCTATATCTGCAAAGCTGTCTCTAGTATGAATTTCACTGTCTTTTGTAATTCACTAAGCGGCCCGTAAAGTTTGACTTCCACAAGTGTCTCTTTTGGCCAAAGGTTTTGCCTGAAAGCGTTGAATCTGGGACAGTCTTGAAGGATGTGATCTGTTGTTTCAGGTGCCAGTCCACAAGTACACAAGGCTGATTGGCCAATCTTAAATTTGTTGTACATGTGGGAGCGAAGTCGATTGTGCCCTGTTCTAAGGCGAAGGATAATGACTATTCAGCAGTTCCAATAAGCATACTGATCTAGGTGATCAGTTTTCCTTTTTATTTTCTTCTCTCCAATTGTTTCCTCCATTGTTCTTTTAGCTCCCTTCTGTGTACATCAATGTTGCAGCATAATCTACAAAGCTCCCACGCTAATTCTGTTATGAAAAAGTTCCTATATCAAGGTTTAAATTAATGACGAAAAGATATTGATGTGATGCTAAAAGCCTAACAGTGATGGAGGTGTAGAGACAGAAGAACAAGGAGTAGGAAGCCATGATTACACAAGCATTTGTAGAAATGAACTTACTTGATAACTCCATCCTCAACATAGACATCAGCATAGAATGACTGGTCATCGTTGACAACCAAACCATTCCTGATAAAAATTCTGGACTGAGCACTCTGTTGATGAAACAACAGTTTTTTGTTAGCAAATGTATACAATTAATGAGGCATTAACTCTGGGCATCATTGAAAACTTGTTGTGAACACTGGTAGTTTTAGCATAGCATGGGAGAAGCAGCAGATGCACTAAGGGGTAATCTGGCCTCTTTCCTGTCGTAGCATGTGGCTCCACCAGGTCCCTCAATTACTTTCACTCTGTATTGACGTTTGGGGAAAATAACCTCTTGAATGAGGATATGAACAGCATCTGTCCTCTGATAGCAATCCATATGGCAAATGCCAAAAGGAAATATGTAGAAAAAAATGTGGGGAAACATATAGCTGATGATAAAAGTACAGACTGTCTTTAAAGTAACAACATCCTTACCCACCCAGGACTGCATGTTACACCAGGCTGGTGTAGATGTCACGGGTGCCCTAATTATGTCTTAGAAGGTTGAACATGGTATCTCGGATCTGCCTTGTTCATCTGCCATCCAGTCTGAGATTTATTTTGCCTCGTGCAGCCCATAAGGAACAACCCAACTGATCAATAAAGTAGCCAGCCTATTCTTACCCCACAAGAGTGCAGACACAAAGTAGCCAATCATTAAAAGAATAAAAGTGCCAAATAATGCCCTCAAACACCAGACAAAATTAACTGCCCCCCCCCCCCCCGCCATTTTCATGCAGCAAGAAACATGTTTTAATAATGACTACAATCAAACATACCAGCTAATATTTTAGATAACAGATGGAGAGCATGTAGACAAAGATGGGAAATTTATACTAGGAAATTATAAACTCATAGATATAAGCATCATTGTGTACAGATTTCTAGAAGACCAAGAAGTAAATGTATTTCAACACATACAGCAAGCAAGATACTTGACTGTGCATTTAATTAAATTCATTTCTTCCATGTGCTCCTCTTGTTTATTTGTCTTTGCTGTCCTTCTGTGAGAGTAAGTAAAGTAAAGGACCCTTTCCACGCCTTTAGGCGTATAGGGCATATAGAGCTAGACCTATATTTTTATAGACCAACGGCACAAGATGGGTGATGTGGTCAGCATCACACCGGCCGCCTCTACTTCCCGGGATTGCACCCGGTACCCACTCAAGGCTAGGTCAACCTGGGAGCCAAGGTCATTTTTGAAGAAAAGTCCGTCTCCGTCAGGGAGCGAACCCACGACCTTCCGATCCGCGGCGAGCGTCTAGCCGCTCCCTTCTGTGAGAATTAAACAATAATTGACAGTACATTCTGAATTTAATTACCTCAGTGGGGTTGCTTTTTTTTTTTTAAATATTCTTTCACCATATTTCACTGTCATTCATAAAGTGTGTGTGTGTGCAAAATGTCAGCTCGATAGCTTAGCAGGAAACAGTATTAAAAACTGAACGCAAAAACTGTACCAGACAAACAACAATACCGAACTTAATAAAAGCTAATAACAATCAAACATCCTGTGCCGTTAGAGAAATTTTGGTCTGACAACCCCATGCTGCACCTCCATATCCACCAATCTAGACTGGACAGGATTAGAGCACTATCGGTCGTAAAACCCTGAGCACAAATACCCCCCCCCCCCCCCCCCCCCCCCCCCCCCCCCCCCGCAAAAGTGGTATAATAAAGACAGTCATTGGCAGTTTTAACAGCATAAACAAAGAAATATATAAATGCATTAACTGTGATTATTATAAAAGAACTAGATGTTACTGAAAGAACTAGGTAGCTGTTTGCTATTCTTTAAAATTAAATACAATCCTTTTTTAAATATCTTTTTCAAACTAATAGCCTAAATTGTTCTAACAAACAGGTTTTAAAAAGAGTATACGCTCTAACACTTCCACAACAGGCATACACTGCATCTGCACCAGGGACCCTCTACCTGATGTGCAGTTTCATATCTGGAACATGTGCACAAAAACCAAACGGTGTTGCTGGAAGTAAGTGTCATAGGTATAGTTCCATACCAGGATACTACAGTTGTTTTTATGAGGCAGGGGATGGCTACTGACATTAAGCTTATTCATTATACACTGTCATTTTATATATATTTACACACACACACGCACATATATACATATATATACACACACACACGCACATATATATATACACATTCATATATATATATATATATATATATATATATATATATATATATATATATATATATATATATATATATATATATATATGTCTGTACCGAATAGTTTATTTTCACTATTCGGCCGAATACGAATAGTGGGACCAACTATTCGGCCGAATACGAATAGTGTATCATCATCATCAGGTGTCTTGCCGACTGGCGTGGGCGATCATGCCTCTCCACAATCTGCTATCTCCTGCAGCATGTATCAGTTCGTGTGCTGACACACCTCCATGCCATGCAACAAGACTGTCAAGAATCTTCTGTCGTTGTCTTCCTCTATCCATCCTTCCACAGATTTTTCCAGTGGTCATCAAATGTTCCATTTTCCATCTTCTCATAACATGGCTGAAAAATGATGACTGCTCCTTCTGATGTCTGTGAATAGTTGTCTTCGGGCTCCCGCCTCTTTCAAAACCATCGTTCGCTAGGCCGTTCCTTCGATGTAATATCTTCAAATTTGATGTGGGCGAAGACACCCTGTAAGAACGAAACATGTATGATCTCTATGTCTCTCCCCCTCTCTCACAAACACACACACTCTGCGGTTGGCATTTTATGCAGTTTGTACCATGCAACCGGGTTGCAGTTTCCCCCACTACGACAGACTTAGGCAACAGCAACTATTGTGTTAATGAGAGAGTTATTTCAGTCCACCACAGTGTATGCAGAAACGGGAGTAAGGCAACCACTATTCGTATTCGGCCCGACCGCAACTATTCAGCCAAATACTGAATAGTTATTAGGTCCACTATTCAACCCTGAAGCGAATATTAGGTAAAGCCCTAATATATATATATATATATATATATATATATATATATATATATATATATATATATATATATATATATGTGTGTGTGTGTGTGTGTGTGTGTGTGTGTGTATATGCGTGTGTGTGTATATATATATATGTGTGTGTGTATGTATGTATATATATATATATATATATATATATATATATATATATATATATATATATATATATATATATGGACATATATATATGTATATATATGTGCGTGTATACACACACACATGACATTATATTGAATGTTGTCTATAATATGAAGTGACAACCTTACATTTACAAATCCTGATAAGACACGTTCAACTGCAAGGTTGTACTGGGGTCCTAGACGGTTACCTAGTAACCTATTTAGTCCCGGCACTTTGAAACACACAGGACTTAAGACATTAGTAAGTACAAGAACGCATAAAACACAATTAATGAGGAACACAGTTTAACAGAAAATAAAGGGGGAGGGGGAGGGGCTTACGAGATTGCAAAGGACAAAAATGTGTATATGGGTATAACGGGCGTAGTAGTAGTAGTTGTAGCAGTAGTAGTAGTAGTAGCAGCAGCAGTAGTGGTAGTAGCAGCAGTAGTAGTAGTAGAAGAAGAAGAAGAAGAAGAAGAAGAAGAAGAAGAAGAAGAAGAAGAAGAAGAAGAAGAAGAAGAAGAAGAAGAAGAAGAAGAAGAAGAAGAAGAAGAAGAAGAAGAAGAAGAAGCAGCAGTTGTAGTAGTAGCAGTAAAAGAAGAAGAAGAAAAAGAAGGATTGCGGGCGCAAAGATAAAAATAAAAGATGAGCTTTAACACTGCTTACATCTATGACCTGCGTAGGGTTCAAAGGAAATTAAATTTACTACAAACTGAGAATATTCAACTCCTAACGTCAAATCGGTACAGCTGTCTAGATCAGAAAGGCGGAGAAAGACAAACTACTAACAATAAACTATAAAAATGTATGACCTCGTGCTGTGTTAGAACATTAAAATTCTAAGACAGTCACTAGTGCAAAACCTGTGAAAAATATTCAAGTGAAACAAGAAGTTGGAGGGGGGGGGGGGTGAGATGGGAGGAAATGGAGGGCTGAGTGGGTAGGGTAGGCACTGACAAAAACCCGTTTGTACAACCAGAAAGTTAATTCTCTTAAACCTTCAGGGCAAACAACACAGCGACCTCAAAACCAACGAAGAAAAAAACTAGAGACGAGGATGAATAATACTAGGATGGCTGCTGGCGATGATACAGGTTAGAAAGACCTACGCTCACAAGCATGACCACTGGGTTTATACTTGTAAACATGAGAGACAAAGGGAACCGCTTGGTTGTTTAGCACAACAGTCAGGAACCATAGACATTCAGGCCAGGGTCTAGCTTTTACACTAACGCGGTTCCCTCACCTCACTGTGTGGAAAGTCTAAATCTCTCATGCTGTTTAAGACGTTTTAATCTGAGTCTTCCATTACAGTTCATTGTATGGAAAGTTTAAATCTAACTCCCATACTGTTTAAAACAAAAAAGTTCAAATCTGAGTCTTCTACTAGTTCAATGTAAGGAAACAGGTTGAGCCCAGGCGACGTTGCAATGCACGGCAAATGAATTACTAATTCCCGACACACCCGAACGTTAGCCTCTGCGTGAGTCATACCACCAGCTCACACGTGTTCTATTTTCCTTCGTCGCATGAGAAATTCCGCTACACTACAACGACAAAGTACTCGCAGCTCTTACCCAACGATTCTTCATGGTGAAAACCAAACCACACGAACCGTACCTGATTATCGTCTTCCATCCCTATTAGATTCCTGCAACCGTGTACAATGTCAAGACTTGGTTAGTCTAACCTGCTTGCGAGACACAACTGATATCTCGATGGTCTGACACCTATGAGCATTAGCAAAACAAAGTAGCTAGGGTAAGAAATCAATGAACTGTCGAGTAAAGCCTCTGTTCAGTCAATGGAAATCAATACGTGCTCTGCGTGTAGTGCAACTGTTCGAATCGTGCCTACATATTAGATGTAGTGGGTCAAGTCTGACTCATTGAAAAACCCCGCTGTCACACTACTTTAGGTTAGT